CAGGATTGAACAAAGCATTGCAGTTGCATCAGCCATTGCTCACAGCGAAGGTGTTCGCAAAACTAAACGGAGGCCAGCTCATCACACGACTCGGCTTAGCCGAAGCTATTTACAAGTGGAAGTAGAGGAAACATCGAAAGAGACACCCAACCGTCATTACTCACAAGGCATTGTATTGCTACGATCGCCTACTCTTTGTGTCCGCGCCAGGTATTTTCCAACAAATAATGGATTCGATTATAGGCGGATTAGAAGGGCTAACCGCTTATCTTGATGACAATCATTAAAGGAAGAAGTTAAGAGAAACACCGCCAAAACTTAAGGCCTATTCAAGCGGACCAAGAACTACGATTTCACGTCAGTTAGGAAAAATGCATTTTCTAATGCCAGAAATTTGCTACTTAGGCTGCATCATCCACAAGAGGGACGCCGGCCGGATCCAAAAAAGATTGAGGCCGTCCAGAAAGCGTCGAAGACTATATGGATGTTCGTTCATTCCTAGGCATTTTCGACTGGACTATTCATGGCCAAGATGCGCCAACTTCGTGCACTCTTGGACGCGTTGCAAAAGGGCGCAAAGTTGGAATGGACAAAGGAATATCAAAACGCATTCAAACGCACTAAGAAAGTTTCATCCTCAGAACTACTCCTTACATATTTCGATTCTAGCTTGCATATAGTTAGCTGTCGACGTTTTGAATTACAGGATTGGAGCGGTGATCCTACACAAAATGTCGGATGGGTCGGAAAAGGCGATTTGCCACGCAAGCCGAAGCGTTACAGCCGCAGAAAAGAACTACGGACAAATTGGAAAAAAGAGCTAGCACTGATTTTTGCAGTCCGTCAGTTCCATCGGTATCTATACGGATGTCAATTCAGATTGCTGAGCGATCGCAAGTTGCTGCTACACATTTTTGGACTCAAGAAGATGGTATCATGTACACAGTGAACAGGCTGCAACGACGGAAGCTCATTCTGCTCGCATACGACTTCGACCTGAAGCACCAGTTAATCCCTGAGTTTGAGCAAGCCGACGCCCTGTCTCAACTAATTCCTCCACGGCTATTCCACACCAAGGACCTTGTAATCGTGAAAATAGAAGAAGATGTGCGAGCTGTTCAAACTGAAGCTGCTCGAGCGCTGGACCGGGAATAAGATTGAAAAAGAACTCCGTAAGGAAGAAAACACCATACAGGTCATACATATGCTGCAATCAGGTGCATGGCCGTTCAAGCCGCTAGGAGAAACTGGAAAGTGGAAAGCACTGACCGAGAGTTTACAGTGCAAAAGATGTTTATATTCTGGCCACAGAATGTTCATTCCAGCGAGATGTTTAGGCATGAGCCTAAGCTTGAAACCTTGCACTTTAGATGAAATATTGAGCACCCGCACACTGTCTTTGGTTTCTACAAAGTTTGAGAGTGCTGAAGTCTTTATGAGATAAACTAGCTGGCTTGCCCGGCTCCGCTCGGCCCCGTCAAAACACTATGATAAAGCTTTCATCCCTATCCCTGTACGACTTCCCCTGTGCCCACGTCTACATACCAATTCACTATTCCCACTGTTTTAGTAATCAGCGGGCTCGATTATTCCCCTGTGCCAACTCCCAGCCCCGTAGCTCAAACTTTGCAAAAAATCGATAAAATCGATATTGGTCGATGACGAAAAGTAGCCTATGACACCCGTCCGGCCCCGAAGTGTATGTGTGACAAGTTTGGTCCGGATCGGTCGAGAAATGGAATTTTTTCGGAGCATGCTACAGACATACACACTCGCACACACAAACAAACAGACATTCAGCTTTATAACATTTGATTCAACTGGCTTGGCACCATTAGGGCGGGGTTTTGTGATCTAATCGAGGCCGCTCGCGCCCACGACGCACCTGCGTCTCTCTCGCGCGAGTGCTTTCTGATCATTACCTAGCCTTAATTAGGTCACGAAGCCCCGCCTTTGCCGATGCCAAGCCAGTTGAATCAAATGGTGTATAAGATGTGGAATCGGCCCTCATTATTAACTTTTATAAATCAACTTCGAAGTTGAATGTGACGGGCATCCCTAAGAGAAGAGAAAGATTGTTACTAGCTGTCAAGTAACTTCAAAGCGTAAAACTTTGCTCTTCCATCCACAGAGAAATGCCTCCAACTTCACCACATCATAGGCGTTTTTAAGCAGTTTCGTAACATATCAGTAACTGTCATTTTTATGACAGCTGCAAAAAAGACGCACAATGCAGCGGACATTCCCCGAAAACCGACGAAGAATAAGTGTGTATCATGATATTCGGATAATCAGCGTTTCTATTTTTGGCACACTTTCGTGTATTATAAATAAATAAATAAATAAATAAATAAATAAATAAATAAATAAATAAATATGTCCGAATGTAATCTTGCTAGCAACACTAAGAAGCCTTTTTGAATCTAATCAGGTTTTAGAGATCTGTATAGGCTACAAACGATAAAAACAAGAAGTCACGAAGAAAAAAAAACGCTCGCTCTTATTGTCCACCGTTGTCCGATTAGAAGAATTAATCATCCCGTTTCTTACTACAGACAGTTCTCTGGGGAGCTTCTTGGAACTTTTCCTATGAATGAAATTCTTTTGAAAATTTTGCTACTTGCTGTGGAAGTAGTATACTATAAGATGCATCTTGGAACACTGTCAGATCTGTGCCTGTTTGCGAAACGACCTTCGAGGAAGTTATGAACGTTTATTATCATGGGGGTTGTGTGCTGCTAGCAGGTGGTCTGAATCATCAATATAGTACATAGCTCATAGTTGCTCGTTATATAGCGGGTCAACGCTAGCGACAGATTCTAGGATAAAGAAAAAACCCGGTGCACAGTTGTACTTTTGCTTGTGCAAGGCTGAAAACATTCTGCTAGATACCTAAACTAGTGCTTGATCAAACAGAGGATGCTGTGTCTTCGAGGACCCTCATACAGCTCCAACCTCCTATCGTGCCTATAACCGTAAGCAGCAAAGATCCCTTTTAGATCCGAACAGTTCCGGAACAATATTCTTCAAGTATGGTGTTGTTTCATCGATCACATGGGTGACTAGAGCTTGAGCCGAATATCAAATAAATAAATTATCTCGCTGCTCTGCAACTCAGTCTTATCTTTCGCTATTCTCTTGCGAATAACCACGTTACTCCAATATTACCAGAACAAGTTTTTGTGATGCTTCTAATCACTCGCTTTTGAACTTCTTTGTCATCGCAGTGCCATAAACTTTTTCATATATTTTTATTGCTCTTGCTACCATTGTGCGCCTGCAGTAGGAGATTGCAATTTGCTTGTCACATCTATTTGTGATTGTGAAAAAGCATATGACATGAGTAACTGATAAGCACTTAACTTCTTTGCAACTCTTGTGAGCGGCTGTCGCAACTTTCTGAGATGACCAGGTTCTGCATTCATTAGTTTATGCTTCTATCGAGCACAGTCTGCTGCATGCGAAGGCTTTCGAAACCTTTCTGCAATAAGCAGTTTTTTTTTTTTGGAATGCAGCAGCATTAAAGGCAGCGTCCAGGTAAACGTGGACATACGGGGTTCTGATATGGAAAGTAATTTTGGGGCCCTAACTAAGACACTGCCCAAGCGGCATCTCAAATGGTGAACTCACAGTTGAGATATTCGCCTCCAAGCTGGACCCCGGGATCGCTTCGCACGGATTCATGGTGCGACACGCGTGGGTCCTCGCGCGAAACCGATGTGTTGCGCCATGAATCCGTGGAAATCGATCCCGGGGTCCAGTTTGGAGGCGAATATCTCAACTTTGAGCCCACCAATTGAGCTGCCGCTTGGGAAGTGTTCTAGTTAGGGCTCCAAGATTACCCTCCAAGTGAGATCCTCATAGGCCCAAATTTGCCTGGACGCTGCCTTTAAATGAGCTGAGCTAAAGTGAATGTAAGGACTCTGATACTAGCGCAGGGTTCTGCCCTATGATAAACTTAATCGGACATTTGGTTTTCATTGCTCTTCATATGGCAGTAAAATTTGTTTTTCTACCAGATCGTGCGAAAGATATCACGAGAGCAGCCTATGAATGCTAGCTTGTGCCACCATGCGTTGTTGGTCAAATATTTTTCAAGTTTTATATGTATGATGATATTTAGGAATTCGGAAGAAACGCTGGGAGATCGGTATGCCCTAACGCTTACTTTTCGACCATTTTCAATCCAGTGAAGGAAATATCTCTTCATAAAATAAGACTCTATGCGAGGCATATTGACAACCGCAGGAGTAATTATTCATTTTGGCATACCCTCATCTGGACTCATTACACCAACTGTAATATCATCAATTATCACTCTTTCATCCGTCAACATTGTAGTGAAAAGACTGAGTTATCGAATTCACAGCATGCAACCATACATTGTCCAGATTAGAAGACAGACCTAACTTCGCGTTTTGGCAGAAGAAATCTCCTTGCACTTCTCCCGCTTTCTGCCAGATATCTTGGTAACTAGTTCTTGTGATTCAAAGTTGCTTATCAAAGAGGGTCCTCATCCAGGCATTGAGATGAAGCTGGTTGTCCTCCACGTCTGCGCTACATTCGCCTTTTAGGGGTCTACCAGCATCTACTGTCTGCTTCCTTGATGTAATGGTCGCATTGGATTTTCCCTTATCAAATTTATTACTCGTCAAAAGCTATCAACTATTCTGAGACCACAATTGGAGAAGAACGCTTTGTAAACATTTGATAGAGTTACGTTGTTTTACCTCTCTTGGAAGATTTCCTGTTCAAAATCAGAGAACGAATGCTTAACCTCGTTAGACAGCATGTGTAAGAGCAATATCAAGCATCCGTTCTCAGACTGGATGATAGCTACGCCAGAAAATCTTGTAGTGGTTCTTCTAAAGATCAAGGGCCTTTCAAAAGATCAAGTTTGAAGGCAGATGAAAACTCGCTCTACTTGCCTCTGCTATTGCAGCAGATTTTGTAACTGGGTCAGAAATTGTGAGATGAAAAGAGTGCCCCAGGCCTTACATATTCACTCTAGCGTTTTCTGGGATGATGATGCTTGAAACGTCGTTACAGGCTTTGTTGTTGAAGACAGCGTTTGCAACTTCGAAAATAATCTTTGAAAGTAGAATCAAAGGACGTCACCTACTTGATGGTATGTGACTGCAACAGTCTCAGTTCGTGGATTTTGCGAAGTGTGGTGATTTCGATTAGTCAGCGCGCACGACAGCAATCAATAGCAGCTACTTCGTTTTTTGCGCCGACAGCTACGCCCGTTAGCTGGTCATCGCTGACCACAATGAATTCTGCATACTTCGCACTTCGTTTTGGAAGAGATGTCGCGAAGAGCCTTTCTCTTAACCGCGTTGTTGCTAGTATACCTCACAAATCTACTTTTCTGTTCAGAAGTTATTCCTCATCTACAATGCCTATCTCCGAGAGCACTTACAAGACTATATTCGAGTAAGTATTTAGGAAAACTTGTAATTCACTTTGTCATGTAAAATTCCTTCAGTGCTATAGACGCTCGACAGGAAGAGTTTGTCAAATGTCTCAAGGAAGCTGTCGCTATCAGATCAGTGTCAACAGAGCCGGAACGTCGACCTGATTGTGTGAAAATGGTCGAGTGGATGAAAAAGGTTTGATTTTGTGCATGCAGATTAAGCTCTGCTTTCTTGCTGGGCGACACAACGTCGATGTCTCAAATGAAAAAATATTAAAATCGCCGCGTAAGTATGGCGCTCATATAGGAACGAGCGGGAGACAGTCGAAAGACGCGGATTTCGTGGCTGTCACCAAGAGAATCAAAGGATTGGGCCAGACTGCACGGCGTACGCTGTCTGGCCCAACCCAAAGAGGTCCAAACTACTTCTGTAGTTTGACCCCCTCCAAGGTATTAACCTACCTCGGAGGAACATGTCCTCCTACTATCTTGACCTATCTTCTTTATCCTGTTCTGCTCACACCACTTCATTGCGTAGAGGAACGGATACCTCAATTAGACACCCCTCAGCGGACTATTGATCCTCACACGATGTACAATAGTAGAGTGGAAGGAGCCGCAGTTTGCAGAGGTAATGCCCAATTGAGGTGTAGGCTACTGCATGACGAAACCGCAATACCTTAATGCGCGTACGCGGCTTTATTAGCCGCAGAGTTCGTGAGGCGCAGGGTCCACAAAGCTGAAGATACGCGCGCGCCGAGTTCGCGCCCCCTCAACTAATATTGCTTCTGTGCCTTCGTTCTGCAGTCGTTTAATCGTTCCTCTACCCCCCTCTTCGATGGTAAAAGGATGCTCTTCCATGACGAACGCGGTCGGTTCAATGTGCGAGGCTCGACCCGCCTTTCGAGCATCTCTTATTATTGAAGTTCGTACGCTCGCATGCCTTTCGTGCAGCCGCCTTCGTCTTGGATTAGGTTTTAGGCTGCACAAACGGCATAGGTTATGCGATGTCGGAGGCACTTAGCATCTGTGCTATTTGACGCCGAACGGTGCAATGCGTTAGCAGTGTAGGTCCGGTCCCTTGATGTTGCCCACAAAAAGAGATAACGGACAGGATCCTCTTTGCGCTCCTCCCTTTTTTGCGCTCCACCCACGGATCCCCCCAAGACGTGTTCTGACATGACAAGCAACGCCGAGACGCATAGTTTGCTATGTGTCACTGTTACACATGACGGGGTTTCCTGTAGCATACGACGTGACTAGCGCCAAGTCCACGTCTGCCAAACTAGGGCTTCAGAAAGAGGCAATTGTGAAGTGTTCTGGTGATATGAACCTCATATCCTGAATCAGCGCCATGAAAAGGCCCGATAACAATAAAAAAATGGAAGACGAAATTTTGCCGGGACGCTGCCTTCAAAGGCAGTGTCCGCAAATACTCGATTTTGAGATTTTGTGCTTACCCGGGCCTATTCGCTAGGCTGAATCCGAAAATGCACATTGGAGAGCGCGAAAACGGCGAAAAACGGCTCTAACCTAGGGAAACCAGCAGGTGGGCGGGGTCCTCCCCACTGTGAATCCACGCTTCCAGCTTCCGGAGCGATCTTCTCGCTTCCGGTTTCAAATCAATCATTCGCATTTGGCCGGCGACGGACGGCTAGCGGAATCGAGAAGACCGCTCCGGATGCTGGGAGCATAAACTTACAGTCTGCCCCAATCCTAACCAGGCATGGCGGGAGTCCGCGCCGCGAGGGTTTTGCGCCACATCTGCGGCTAGCTAGTCTGCTCTCTCCTCGATCTCTTCACTCTCTGCGACAGCGCGCGTATGCAGCGCAATCCCCTAGCGCTGCAAGCGCGCAAATTCAGCCGACGGTTCGGCCTGATCCCGATTGGGTCAGACTATACAGTGGGGAGGACCCCGCTCGCTTGCTGTTGCTCTTCTGCACTAGAGCCCTTTTTTGCCGTTTTTGCGCTTTCCAGTGTGGATTTTCGATTTTAGCATGGCGAATAGGCTTGTATAAGCACAAAATATGAAAATCGAGGTTTTGTCCGAACACTGTCTGTAGCACATCGCATGCGACACGACGCCGCGAGGCACTGGCGTGGGCCGATCTCGGAGATACAGCCTATATTACAACAGAGTAGAGAAAAGATGAGATAAGTTGTTCAAATTTTGGTTCTACAAAGTGATAACGTGCTTACTACCTTTCGAAGCCAAAATCTGGTTCCACTCCCTTTCATTTTCGCCATCCATGGGGTAATTTCTTTGTGTCATTCCGCCCAAACAAACCACACAATTCACTGCGGTCGTATCGAATCTTACTTACTTACTTACTTAGATGGCCCGGCTTCACGTGACGTGCGGGCCCCAGCTCAGAAGTTTCCATTTTTCCCTGTCCCTCGCTTCTGACATCCACGATCTTCTTGGCTGACGTCGGTGGCTGCGTCCACGAGTTCCAGGTGCAAAAATCGTATCCAGCTGATTTCTCAGCTGGTCCATCCGTTCCACGAACACGTCTGCCCATCTCGTTGGAGGTCTTCCTCGGGGACGTTTGGCTTCGCGAGGAATCCACTCCGATGTTCTTAGTGTCCATCTGTCGTCTGTTCTTCTCATTATGTGACCGGCCCATCGGTGTTTGGCTTTCGCGACGTATTCCGCTGGGTCACGAAGACGGGACATTCTTCCCATATCCGTGCTGCGAAGTCCGACTAGATGTTGCTTGCGTCGGGTCATCTTCAGAAGACTGCGCTCGAGCGCTCTGTGGGTGGTCCGTAGAGCTTTCGACGTGGCTACAGTGTCGGCCCAAGTCTCAGCTGCGTAACAGAGCGCCGGGAGAACGGTTGAGTCGAACAGGTGGGCACGAAGCTCCGGGTCCGTCAGTTGGTCGGTGGCTTCCTTCAGGGGCCCGAAGGCGGCCCAGGCTGCTCTTCTTCTCCTGTTGAGTTCTTCCCTCAAGTCGTTCTCCATGTTCATCGAACGTCCGAGATACACGTAGGAAGACGTCTCCATAATCGGGGTGCCTTCCAATTCCATTTCTGCATCTTCGCAAAGGGCGTTCTTCATGAACTGAGTCTTCTTCCGATTTATTCGCAGTCCGATCTTCTTCCCTACTTCGTTTAGTTCCTTCAGCATCGTCTCTGCTTCGGTGATACTGCTCGAGAAGAGAACGATGTCGTCCGCAAAACGAAGGTTGGACAGGAATCTCCCATCAACTCGTATGCCTCTCTCGTCCCAGTCCAGTGACTTCATCACCCACTGCAAGGCCGCGGTGAACAGCTTCGGCGAGATTGTGTCGCCTTGTCGGACCCCCTTCCCGATTGGTATGGTCAGGGGGCGATGGAATAGCTGCATCGTCGTTGTACAGCCCTTGTAGCAGTTGGCTAACGTCCTCACGTAAGCTGGGTCCACTCCTTGATCGACTAGCGCAGACAGGATGGCGTTGGTTTCGACGCTGTCGAAGGCTTTCTCGTAGTCGACAAAGGTTAGGACGAGAGGCAGTCGGTACTCCCGGCAGACTTCTATGACCCTCGAAACGGTCTGGATGTGGTCCATGCAGCTGAATCCTTTGCGAAATCCAGCTTGTTCTTGGGGTTGGGCTTCATCCAGTGTCCTTGATATGCGAGCGAGGATAATCTTCGTGAAAAGCTTGTACAGCACACTCAGCAAGCATATTGGACGATAGTTCCGAAGATCCTCCCGTTCACCCTTCTTGAAGAGAAGGACGGTTCTTGACGTTCTCCACTGGTCGGGAATCTTCTCCTTCTGAAGGTAAGATGTCAAATGCGACGCTAGAATCTCGTGTAGACGGTGTCCTCCGGCTCGCAGAAGTTCGACGGAAAGATGATCTGGTCCTGGAGCCGTGGACGTCTTCATGGTCTGTATCGCGATACGCACTTCAGCAGGTAGAATTCGTGGTGGTACTTCTCCAGTGGGAACAACGGGCATCTGCACGGGTGTTGATGAGCGGAAGAGGTTGGTGTAGAAGTTCTTCGCGATAGATTCCATCTTGTATCGGGAAGAAGTCGGAGTCCCGTCTTCGTATCGAATCTGAGTCGAAAACTTTAGGATCTTACTTGCTAGCTTCTCTTTTCAAAGGCTAGGTTTTTCTGATGATGAAAAAGTGCAGGAGGGCCCCGCAGATAGGCTTGTGTAAGGGAGGAAATATTGAGAATCACATCCTATCAACCTACTAGACTTCTTACAAAACGAGTATCCGCACTTTTGCAGTGCAATCGAAGTTGACGACTACAGTCAGTCCTTAGGATCACCTTAAACAGCTCGTCGGTGTCATTAGGATTTTGCTCCACTTGTACGTACCGTTAGGGTTGTTTCAGACTGCCGCACTGACCGCAGCCGACTGCAGCTGACCGCATTGACCGTGGGGCCGAACAGATCGCTATATCCTTTTGTGAAGGTGGAGAAGATGAATAGTTGTAGCTCAAACAGTCTCTTAACAATATATGCCCCGATAGACAACACGAGCGGGAGTAAAATAGGTATATTCAATGGCAAAAGGAATTTGAACAAATATGAGCATATTAAAGAACAATCGCCAAAATTTGAGAAGAGTAGGTTAGAACCTGTCAACTTTCTAGACGTAAATCATGGTGTTTTGATGTATTCGCAACTATTTTCTCTTCTACGAAAGGATGCAGCGATTGTGCGGACATTGCGGCCATTGCGGTCAGTGCGGCAGCTGCAGTCTGCTGCAGTCTGCTGCAGTCAGTGCGGCAGTATGAAACAACCCTTAGACTTCGCGTCGGAACGCCCTCTATCATTCACTTATACTATGCAAAACATCCTGGATACGTTCGCTATAGTTTCCGAACTGTTGTCGTTTGGAAAAGAAAGTACCATTTATTTCTTGAATAATCGAAATAATCGAAAACGTTTTGCAAGCATCGTCAAGCAAGCTTGAACGTGTGGTTAACGAGTTTACATTTGCGATCTGTTCAGTTCAGGATTACTGCTTAAAAACAGGAAAGAAGTTTAAGCTTATTCAGACCATGTGTGCAAAGCGGTTTCTAGTCTCTCAGTCACAGACTGGATAATTATCGCTGCCTCACTCTAGAGCGGACGGTACACTAAAACAAACACACACTATTTAGCCTTATCCTCCACTAGTGACTATTTTATCCGAAAATACCGATTCACAAACTCAATCACCCCCCAAAACACCACAGAACTCCAATCGCTGCATTTATGGGTTTGGACCACACAGTGGGCAGTTCACAGATAGTGAATTTGGCAGTGCTGGACTCCAGTAAACGTCTTCCGGGATTTGGTTGCCTATATGTGCGACAATCGAAGAAAAAGCATAAGCACACTTACACTCTCTTTAATCGCGATCAGGCCAGAACGTTGGCCTTGAATCGCTTGCCCTCAGTGTTGGGGGTTTAAAGGCAGTGTCTCACCAAAATTTGGTTGTCGAGATTTTTGCATATTGCAGGCCTTTTCGTCCCTGTCTAACTCAATGCGAATTCAAAATCGGATTAATTATCCGCAAACCCCGCTTTCTGAAAGCCTCATGGAAGCAACGCGGACGAGTTGTGCCTTCTCAGCCTAGATTTCGCCAAGTGGCAGCAACACTATGGAAGTGGACGCCAAGTAGAGGCACATGTTGAAATGCGTAAGAGGGAAACCGAGAGCGTCGGCCGTGCGGGCCAAGTTGGGGTTTGCGGGCCATTTTAAGGGCAAAATTCTCGGCATCGGTGGACCCGAATCGAGTCAGACTTGGGGTGGTCGGCTATTCAGAGGGCCTCCAACAAAATATGCAGAGACCAGCACTACCCCAGTTTCGGGAAGACACTGCCTTTAAGCAGTCTTCAGACCGCGCCGGTACCCTCCGAACCTGTTTTAGCCCGCTGGAATTGCACAAGTAAGAAATACATATGCCTAGAAGTTGGCATCTCAAAGCGCGCGTGAAAAGCCGCTCGCTACGTAGGGTATATAGTCACAAGTAACTCCACATATCCTCTTCGCTTCTCTCATTTGGCAGGTTCCTACCAGTTCCGGTGGGTTCGGACGGGACCGACGTGATATGTAGCCTGCCTTATGCTGCATGTACGGCGGCACTGCTGCCGTACAACCGTAAGAGCCTTCAGCCTCGCCGCTGCTGAAACGGCTCGCCAGCTTCACTAATAGGGCTGGCCACTACCCATGTCATGCCGTGCCCTCAGACCCGCCTCCCCACGCGATAGCAATGGCGGCGACGGCAGCGCGTATTCTGACGGAATAAGGGGACAATACGTCGCCAATAAGCTCCACCCACGTGGACAACGAGTGCGAGCTTGTACTGTGCAGAGATGCGTAGTTTGTTTTTGCATGTCCACACAGCCTACCTTCGGCAACATAACTTCCTCTTCTCCTCTACCGAAGAGAATGTGTGAGGAACAGAAGGTCCTGAAGAAGATTTACAGTCTCTTCCAGTGATGAAGCCAGGATTGGCATGATTGCGTACGCACGCAGTGGTTTTTCGCGTTTACCTTTTGTCATAGGAAGTCATGGTGGGATCTGTCTACTCTACTCGATCTCGCGGCAATACTGCTTCTACAGCACGAACTTTAAGCGCAGGCGCGAATTCGCCAACGTCTAAGCCTGATCCCGATTGGGATATAGTAGCAAACCATGACCGTGAGGCTTCGGGAAGAGTTCACGCGATTTCATCGTCGCGATTTATCGCGACAAGACAACTGTAAGAACATCATTGCATGCCGATCTTCTTGCACGGTAGTGATAGTTTTACAACACGACTAATCGTGACTGACTACCACAACAGAAATACAAGAAGATCGGCATGCAATGGACTCGTAACAGTTGTCTTGTAGTGATTAATCGCGACGATGAAATCGGGTTCTGTCCGAGGTCTGACGCGATTGGCGAGAAGAGGTTTTGATTGGAACAGAATAAATCTCACGAATCCTTTAGCGGTGTTATAACACTGCAGCTAGCTTTTCAAACTCCCACTCTAGAATTTCGGATGGTGATGGAAGCTTTTCGCCTGCCATTTTTGAAATCAAGTGGTAAAATTTCTCATGTAGTTAAGACCGCCCTAATATGATCGGCTCCACGATTCGTATAGAGGCGTGTTGCAGATTCTCAGCTTGTTGAACCTCCACGTTATAGCATTTTTTGTACTCTCTCGCTATAAAAAACCGACACGCTTTGAGCTGGCATGACTCCGCCTCTATACGTCATGGAGCCGATGACACATACATACCACTTTTAAATGCATGCAAGCGAGACAAGTAGAATTGATCTTGCATTGAGATCCTTAAGTTCGTCATTATAGAAACTTGAAGATGTTGGGGCCAAAACCCAGCTCGTTGAAAATGGGAAACAAAAACTTCACGATGGCAGGACCATTGACCTGCCTCCGATCTTGTTTGCTGTTTTAGGTCAGTACCATTTAGTATCGTTTTCAAGGGAGGTGCCAGATTTGATTCAGACGACTCATACGGTCCACCCATTCGCTATTGGTCATCTCATTGATTTGACCGGTAGCGAGTGGGTGAACCGAATTTGCCTACCAGTTGATTCGGATAAGTCTGGCATTTGCCAAAGGCTTAACCGTTTATTCTTTTATCGTTCTATTCGCCCGAAGTTTATCTTCGACTAACATGCAAGATTAGTTTTTCTTAGTTCATATATACAGGAGACGACCCCAAAAAGAAGACTTTGCTTGTTTACGGTCATCTAGATGTCCAGCCAGCTTATAAAGAGGTTTGTCAGTTACTAAAAATTTTATTTTGGACCACGTAGCTGTATTTACCAGGACGGATGGAATACAGATCCTTGGGTACTCACGGAAATTGATAAGAAATTTTACGGAAGAGGTTCGACTGACGACAAAGTGCGCACATTCATGTTTTCTTTCTTAATTGGTAAGATTAGACGATGCCTTTCAGGCCCCTGTTATATCCTGGGTACACGTAATCAGCGTCATGCAGCAAAAGAAAATCCCCCTTCCTGTCAACTTGAAAGTATTTTTACCGTTCTCTATTATCAAAACAGCACAATTAATTAGCCGCGATTCTAGTTTGTTTTCGAATGTATGGAAGAAGATGGTTCGCAGGGACTAGAGGAAGCGCTCAAGAAGCACAAGGACACTTTCCTCAAAGGAGTGGATATGACGTGTATCGCGGATAACTACTGGCTAGGAAAAGATAAGCCATGCATCACTTATGGGCTCAGGCGCGTTTTCGACTTGTTTTTTTCCTTTACAAGATACTTTTATCCCTTCTAGGGGTCCTTGTTGTTTTATCGATACATGTTCTATTTTTTTTAGAGGTCTTTGCTATTATTTCATCGAAATAAGCTGTGCAAAGCAAGATCTCCATTCAGGATCTTATGGAGGAAGCGTGTCAGTTCATTTATACATCAGTGTATTACAGTTTTGATTGCACGTGCAATTTCCATTGCATTAAGGCCGGAAGCCATGACAGACTTAGTGTGGATTTTATCACAACTGATTGACAAAGATGGCAAGATCAAGATACCCGGCATCTATGATACCGTTGCACCTTTGACTAGCGATGAGAAAGCCCTTTATTCGAAGATCGATTTTGACCCTGAAGAATACAGGTAAACCTTATTGAATATCTTTGTGTTTGTTCTACGAATTCTGCATCTTTTTTAGGAAAGAAATCGCCGCACATGGACTCCTTAAGAAGACCAAAGAAGAAGTGCTGATGAGTCGTTGGCGAGATCCATCTCTCTCTATCCATGGCATAGAAGGTGCATTCGGCAGTCCTGGAGCAAAAACGATCATCCCTTGCAAGGTAATTACTAAGTTTGTTTGAACAAGCTACGTCTCTTTTCGTTTGATTGCAACTCGACTTGTTATAGGTGATAGGCAAATTTTCGATCCGAATAGTACCCAATATGGTTCCGGCAGCAGTAGACAAACTTGTTATAAACTATCTGAATGACATATGGGCAAAGCACGGGTCCCCCAATCATTTCAAGTAATTGTCATGATGTCGGCAGATCGCTGACAATCGTATTTGATTTTGTTAAAGGGCGAGCGCACATCACAATGGTATGCATTGGCTCGGTAATTACAAGGACCATAACTTCCAAGCTGGAGTACGTGCCATCAAAAGAGGTTAGTCATCCTGCATGACGGTGATTATTATTTTGCTTAGGCATCATATTTTGGTACCTTCCCTTCTCTAAAAATGTGCGCTGTATACATTGCCCGCAGTTGTAATTAGAAGTCAAATCTACTTGTTCTTGGCTGTATAATTTTGATGTAACTCGGACACTAAAGTCGAGTTGATTTTCCGTTTCATATACTGTGCCTGCAGTGCCGGGATGGTGCGGTAAAATTTACGCGTGAACAAATAGCCAAGCCAGTAATACAGGAATTTTGCGCGGAAGTGACCAGCATCACAGGCTAGCTACGTGTTCACGCGCAAATTCTACAGCACCGTCTCGGCACCGCAGGCACATTATAAGCGGAATTCACTCGACCTGCTTTGAAGCATCGCTTTCCGGCCTCGCTCGGTGTAAAAACCGCAGCAAGTATATGTGCTGTTACCTTTCTCATTCTACAGCGGAGAGAACCACGCAAATCCTGTTTTATTTTTTATCTACCGTCTTTGATTACAAAGTGTTTAGTGTATGGTGTTGAGCCTGATTACACTCGTGAAGGTGGGAGCATCCCCATCACTCTTGCATTCCAGGTAATTTACTTATCCTATCCTATTGATCTGTATAGGAACGTACTTTACCCCTTGATTAAAGGAGCTGACTGGAAAGAGTGTTATGTTGCTGCCAGTTGGCGCCGGCGACGACATGCCTCATTCACAAAACGAGAAGATGAATCGCTCCAATTTCATCGAGGTGGTTTGAAGTTCTAAGATAAATCCAAATCAGGGTCAAGTAAGAGGTATGGCAAAGAATCGCTGAATACGACCCCCCCCCCCCTCCCTATTTGCTGTCATAGTAAGCCCTCCTGAACTACTGCGTACCTAAGATAGGATAACTTGAAGGCCTCAAGCATAACGAGTAATATATTCGTAATTAGCATGCAAATAACCCGTGTGGACGAAGTTTGAGCGAATTCTGAAATTTCCAGATTCTGGGCCACTGAAAGGCAGTGGGTCGTCAAAACTCAACAACTCAAAATTTTAATGCGGTACGCTTCTTATTACCCATGTATGAAAACAGTGCAATCCCGATTTCACAGCATGCTTTCCCTGCCGAGAAATTGCTCTCAAACTTACACGCGCAGGCCAATCTTACACGCGTCCGGACGAGTTAGCAATTTCCTTCTCACCATTGGAGGCTGCCCGCCGCAATGCTATAACCATTGGGTCCGCAACGATTCGTCGCATCAGCCTTGCTCCACTCGTCCTATTCCAAAGGGAAGGGCATTAAAAAAGCTCGTTTTCGGCGTTTTCAAGCCCTCAAAAATTGACTTTTGGGATCAGCGTATTGGATAGCCCCAGGTAAGCGAATTTGGCTAGGTTGAGATTTGCCGAGCCACTGCCTTTAAGTGAGATGGTCATTTTCGAACATGATTAACTTTGCTTAAAAGCTTTTTGCACTCAGTAGTAGCACGAAGCCAACCAAAATCTCGCTTTTTCATTTTTCGCATTTGAAAGCTCTGTTTCACCAACTGTCAGTAGAGCAAAGAAGACGAGTCAGGCCCAAATCACTCCTGTGAAATCTACGAGCTTCAAGCTATCGCTTCATATAAATCATGCTCGCTAAAAAAATTTTTTTTGACGTAGTTAATGAGGTGTGGCACAACGCCAAAAAAGCTGTGGCTGCCACACCTTCTTGGGGTTGTGCCACATCCTATTAATATGTCAAGTAACATTTTTAGCGAGTATATCTAGATGGTTCAATATCTTGAAGATCGTAGATTCCATAGGAGTGATTTGAGCCTGTCTTCTTTGCTCTGAGTAACAGTTGGTCAAACATAGCTTCTAGATGCGAGAAATGAAAAAAAACGAGATTTTGGTTGGCTTCTAATTCCACTGTTTGAAAGGCTTTCAAAGCGGGATTTCTGAGATGGGCAAAGAATGGCTAGTGCTTTGTACTGAGTGCAAAAAGGGGTAGCTAATTCCTTTTTGAAACGAAGATAATCATGTTCGAAAATGACCACCTTACTTAGGTGGCCCTTCGTATAATGGGGTTATCTGGCAAAATGCTCAAACAAAAGTTATCACTAATATCAGTATCACTCAATTACGACCCCCTTCCCGTTTTGACTCCTCAATACGACCCCCCAGGTGTGGCGTGCCACACCCCACGCTTGACCCTGATCCATATTTTCAGTATCCAAAAATGCGACGAGTTAAAAATGAGTTATATATCTTCATGTTTAGGGCACAAAGATGATGGCTGCCTATCTGCTCGAAATAGCCGAATAAACAGAACTGGCGTTCAAAACTGAGCGTACCTCAACATATCACTTCACGTTCGAAATCCATAGAGTTTATAATTTATGTTTGCAAAAAAGAGAAACACAAGATAAAACATTCCATATTGGTTCCTAACATTCACTATCACAAATGAGATCGCCCAAATGTCTGAGTTCGGTAGTCCGCGAGTGGCTGAGGGTTGCCGAGGAATCGCTTGAAGAATACCACTGTGTTAGACCATACTTGATCCTGCCTTGCTCCATGCATGCATGGCTCTCCGCCGTATGCTTGTATGGAGTCTGAACTTCTCATATTGTAAGTGTGAAGAGCGAGTAAGAATGCGTACCTGCAAACTTTGCATACACTACTCCATGAGCAGGAAAGTATGGTGGTTCCATTAGATGACCTCCCGGTACCATGTCCACTTCGACATAATGGTTACTTTCTCTAAGTTTTCTTTCGAGATATCTGGTGACGAATACCGTCGATGTGGAGAGATCATCAATTGAGGCCTGAAGATGCTACTCAGTAGGGAACCATGTTTAGTCGAAGTGGCATTTTCAAATGGGATGTATACCATATGAGAGAGCGTAAAAAGGTAATTCCAAATCTGCCTTCCTTGTCTGCGGAACGTTTGTGGACGATGAGTTATGACGTTTATTGAAGCAAAAAAGAAAAAGTGAATTTAAGGTAAAATGAGCTACTAAACTCTTCCCAGCTCTTAAATAAAGCAACCAAGTTTGATGTTTGTTCATCTGAGAATGTTTATTGAATAAGGTGCTCTGATAATTATTGCTGCTCCATTAAAGCGCTAGAAAAAATGATATGACAGTTTTTGTTCTATTTCCATACGTAGTTTTTTGCTCTAATAAAAGCTCATAACTCCTCGTGCACAAGCGTTCCGCAGATACAGAAGGTAGATGGAGTCAGCGTTTTAGGCTCTCTAATATGGTACACATCCCATCTGAAAAGGCCACTTTGACCAAACTTGGTTCCCTTGTTAGTATGTTGTTCAGCGTCAAAACAGCAGCCATGTAAGAAAGTGCTTTATCAAACTGAGGTGAAATAAACACTTGATTTAGGAAAAGTATACCCCATACATATGGGCTGATTTGGATTTTTGAAAAATTTGAAATATTTCAATTGTTCACAATTATAAACAAGTCACTTGCACTTTTTATAACACCTGTAAGTAATTTTTAAAATTTTTGCGACACATTCTCGGGGGGGGGGGGGGGAAGGTCCTCTCCGCTTCGCCCTTCCCCTCGCACCACCACTGTATGGGTACTACTGAATCTTTAGAGCCTTGAATGAGAGTCTATTTATCGGGGTGAGAAGTGAGGAAACAAAACATTATACGCCGCTGCCCAGAATAATTTTTCGTTACCTTTCCGTCTTCATTGTAGATTATTCTTTGAGATGGACATATCGAAGAAAAGCATACTGCCATACATCGCAATTTACAGTATTTTCTATAATCACCTGGGAATTCTCGCAGATCGCATCCTTATAAAGACAGCTCCCCAGATAAAAAAGTGACGAAAAGGCGCTAATTCACATTTGCCCACCTCCGATAAAGTTGTTGCGGGAGTGCCAATGCACGATTTTCCTTGTGGGCGGTACTGTGCCCCTCCCTCCCGCTTCTCCAGCGTTTTCTCTGCGATTTAAATCCGGTCCAGGGTCAACGACTGCGTTTTATTACACAACGCAGCATATGGACGCATTCATAAATCAATCCTAGGTGTTGCTTTCGCTTATTTATCGATGCTTTGGCTACCGCAAGTTCGAACCGTGGCCTTATCCTGCGAGTTGAGGTTGCCGTGATCCGCGAAACCTCAAATCGGGCTGGAATAATGGTTTGGAGAATTATGTAGAGTATCTCTGAACCAGATTCCCACCGATCTGACAATTTTTAATTCTCAGCTGTATACGTAAGAGTGATATTTGGCGAAAAGACAGGCGCCAGACTTAACCGGTTTAACTGGTACATCCGCTTCACTCTATTCGCTATTGGTCAACTCATGTTCTGACCAATGGCGAATAAGTGAACCGGACGAGCCTGTTGAGCCGGATAAGTCTGGCACCTACGAAAGGTGTGATGTGGTTACATGTCAGAGCGAATCCATGGCTTACCCGAATAGCCGAGTAACAGTTAAAGGCAGCGTCCAGGCAGATCTGGACCTGTGGGGATTTTACATGAAAAGTACTTTTGGGGCCCTAACTAAGGCACTGCGCAAGCGGCAGCGCAGTTAGTGCTCTAACGGCTGAGATGTTCCCCTCCAAACTGGACCCCGCGATCGTATTCGCAGGGATTTATGGCAGTTTCGCGCCAGGATCCACGCTTTGCGCCATGAATCCATGCGAAATGCGACCGCGGGGTCCAGTTTCGAGGCGAATATCTCAGCCGTTAGAGCACAACCTGAGCTGCCGGTTGGGCAGTGGCTTGATTAGGGCCCCAAAATTAGTATCCCCGTGAGATCCCCATGTGTCCAGATTTTCCTGGACGCTGCCTTCAAACTCAAAGATGAGTATACTTGCAGACAACTACGGCATGCTCGATTACCCCCCTGTGCCAACTCCCAGCCCCGTAGCTCAAATTTTGCAAAAAATCGATATCGATCGATGACGAAAAGTAGCCTATGACACCCGCCGAGGCCCGTAGTGTATGTGTGCCAAGTTTGGTCCGGATAGGTTCAGAAATGGAATTTTCTATTTGGAACATACGTACAGAAAGACAGACATACAGACAGACATACAGACAGACAGACGGACAGACAGACGGACAGACAAACAGACATTCAGCTTTATATATTACTCCACGAAACTTATGTTTAAGCAACTTAATTCGGTGCGACGGTTTTGTCGCGACAAATACGTCGCGACAATTCAAATAAAAGCAATTTTGAAATGTTCAACAGTTGTTCTGAATCGCTAGGTTCTCAGCAATCCAAAGATGTTCTCCGTTTCTTTTGAAAACTAGTTCAAAGAAAGTTATAGCATTGCGACGGTTTTGCGAAGATAAATACGTCGCGACGGAAAAATTTGTCGCAATCCGTTTTTTCCCATGAATTAGGAGCTCAATTGTACATGCAGTATATTGTAAGAAGTACTGACCACTAATCTGAATGCTGTCCGACTGGGCGCTGTTTCTATTTTTATATCTGTCTCTTCTGTGACTTTCATATGTTGAATGGCTTTGTCGTAACACATCGCCTCGTTGATAAAATAGATTTTTTCGATGGGGATCCTGAAATGGTTGCGTAATGTTCTCTGCTCTCCCCTAACAACGTGAAGAAGAAATCACAAGACGTTGTACGGCTGCACTTATATAGTTCCTCTTCATCTGCTCTCTTCTCACTGATTATCATTGAGTCAAAGGCGATCAAGATACGACTTCTTGATGCATTTCAAAAGCGCAAGAAAGAACTGATGAAAAGGAATATAGGCACTGTAGTTCGCAAGCGCTCTTCCCGTCACGTGTTGAGCCATTAAAAGCAATGTTCGGAAAGATCTCTCGGGGGGGGGGGGGGGTTTGCATATCTGGACTTCCTTGAGCACGAAAGTATAGAGTAGCCGAAAACGAGATTTTTAGTGCCCTCTTAACCGTAACGAGGTGAATGTTATAGATTATATGAACTCACGCTGCATAGGGAAGCCGTTTACCATGTTCCTTGATTTTTACCGTCTCACTTATGGCATGAGACCCGTTTATGGAGCATACAGCAACTATCTTAATGTGTGGTAGAAATGCAAACACGAGCAAATGGACCTTACCTCAGGGATTCTAACGGCAAGCATATTCGCCAGCAGTCCTCCGAAAGAATTTCCTTGAACACCTATCTCATTACTGGTAAATGGAAGAGCTATCAACCAATGTATGGCTTTCTGAATTTCAAAATATCTCGCTAGCAGCGTTAATGTGAAAAGAATATCACCGACGCTGAAATAGTCCAAGTCAAGATCGTTTAAGTCGCTGATAAGCGTTTTATATTGAAAGAAGGCCAGGGATAAGACGCAGAATCCTTCAGACGCTAAGCTGGCTCCCTTATGTTCGTTGATGCCTCCACCAGTGCCGGACATATCCAGTATGGTTGGAAAAGGCCCTTCCCCTGTTAACAGTCGTCCAAATTGATCAGAAATCAGCTGATATTCCTACCTGGTGGTATGAAAAGTGTGCCGCATATTCCGTCTTCATCAATTTCTTTTCGAAGAACCGATGGATGAACCCAGCGCTTTATCAGTGGCAATGAACACAAGAGCTGGCCAGTGCAGTTGCGTAACCTAATTTATTATCATGGTAACATAGGTACAGTACAGAGAACACTCACTCAACGACAAATTTGAAGGGATTTGGTGGTGTGCACTTACAGTAGCTTCCGAAACGAACATCTTCACATGGCTGCAGACTTTCAAACAAACCCATGGGTCTCAAATCTGTGTTATCTTCACAACATGTAACCTCGAGCTGACTCGGGAAAGTTTATTTACCGCAATAGGTTCCTCGTAGAGGGGCCGTATTGGTCAGGTCAATCTTGCCCTGGTGGTCTGCTCTAAAGAATCCATTGCTTTTATACGTACCAAGTGGATGATTCAACCTGAAAGACATACACAGAAGGAAGGTGATGAAGGTAATCTGTAGGAATAATCTCATATATATATGGAAGCCAAGAAGTGGTGCCCGAATAGGCTTACAATACCTCTAACAAAAGGTGCGAAACTTCCGTAACTGTCGGGGAACGGGAATGCGGAAGTCCGCGACACTCGGAGAATCCCGCGACATTCACGGAAGTATCGCTTGTGAGAGGTATTGTAGTCATCTCGATCTGCCCTATTGCCTTCTTTAAACATCGATTAGAGCGTACAAATGCGTAAAACGATGAATAACGACGATAGAACTACATACCTTAAAAGTACTTCATATATTTCACCTGACGTCAGAGCACTAGCTGCAATACTAAGCGGCTCTTTCATAAGAGTATCAATTTTGTCAATATGAAGCATCAGCGTTGTTTTAGCGTGGGCAGAACTGGTAGTAGGATATCTTATCACCTGTCGGCGGCGTGGTACAAGGTCGGTCCGATAAAGAAAGGGTTCAACTTATGATGACACTATACTCATTAGGAACAACACTACACTACATTTTTTCCAAGATGCAAGCAATGAAGCAAGATGCAAGCGGAACACAAGGCGTCGTTCATAGATGTCCACAAATCTTTGAAGTGACTGCTGTCATATTGCAGTCAGCTATGCGTTTGTACTTGGAGACTCATGCGGTTCTATCCAATGAGTTTAGACAATGGCATTCGCTGTGCTTTTGAAACTCTTCCTCTGAGGAAGATAATGTACTTATTCCTACTTATTCCAAGCAAGCTTCTACTTAAATTTTGGTTTTTTTTGATTTTGCAATCTCAATCATGACTCTAAGCACAAAGCAGCACTTTTCCGACTTACCCTAGGATTTAACAGGTAAGTTAGATAATTTTGAAGAAAGTCTTTCTAGATGAATCCGTTAGACATAAGTCCGTTTAACGCGCTGTCAAGGGTATCTACAGGCGGGCTTATCTGCCCTGCGGAGTATCTGCGGCAAGAGCTTAGATGCTAAATTTGGGTGCTTCTTGAGCACAAAGTTTAAAACAGCAAAATTTGAATTAACCGATTTTAAGCAGGAGCTTTGTGTAGACTAATTGTAGAATATCCAAAATCAGACCATGAATTGCAGTTAATATCTATGTGGATGTGCCTCGTCTATCCATGTTGAAACTTACAATCTCTTTCGGTACTTTTCCGTTATCCGGACCCATTTTTTCAAAAGGCTCGTATAAAACGTTCTGTAGTCCAAGTACAAATTTGCATAGATTTTGCGAGGACTGTCTCCCCGCCACGTGTCGGGAAAAATTGACACGTTCTAATCCACTTCGACATGTTTTTTCGAAACCATTTCCGCTAAGGTAAAAGAGCATTTGTAACCACTTAAAAGCTGTTCAGCTGATTTATATAAGAGAGCAATACAATCTAGAATCATTACTAGAATATCATCTTGATTGCTTCTAGCAATGATTCAAGAATGTATTTCACTTCAAACCTTCCGCCATGCGAGTTCAGTCAGGAAAGTCTACAAATGATGGCTTGAAGTAGTACCTCGCTGCTGCTTTTCGCCGCTTAGATGAACCCTGGCGCACTTCTCTATTCTGGGCGTCTAGTACGTTCATTGATGAGAGGGCGACGTTTTTATTATAACAAAGTCATTTTGGAATTTGTTTAATCAAATAGGGTCATTATCGACCAAAAAAAGGTTGAACTTATGTCGCTAAGTAGAGCAACACAAATCCTTGGTAAAACTTGTTAAACATGTAGATGGCATGTCAAATTTTCTTGACACGTGGCAGAAGCTCGACACTCTTTCCTATGAAGTTGGGACCAAATATGGTGCAAGGAAAGAAGCAGTATCCTTCTTTGAAAAAATGGGTACGGATAACGGAAAAGTACCTCTCTTTCTCCCCCCCCCCCCCGCTTGACTATCATTTTGCTTGGGGTAAGTGTGTACCCTATCAGGCATCATCACCTCGTCATCAGTGTGCCCAAGGATCAACTGTTTAGGCCTCAAAAGTTCCTTTAAATTCAAATGGTCACCATGTTCAGTATGCCTTTACTCTTCTTCTCCCGCGCCCCTTCTCTCCTTCGCCCACATCTGAAGAAAAAGGAAAAGTCACAAAGACGCAAACCGTGGCAACTACTCAATGGGCAGCGTTCAAGCAAAGGATACGTAAGGATCTCAAGTGGAAACCGTTTTGGAGGCCTAACTAAGACAGTGCCATGCGGTGGACGACTTGCATCGGATGCTCGCTTTTGCGTGGGCCACCGCATGATGGGTCCCACGCAAAAACCTGCAAGCCCATGCATGTACTCCGGGATTCGGCCGGCAGTACATTTGCCCGACAGAGCGGTCAACAATATGTCCGTCTGAAGACGACAATACGAGCGATACAACTCTGCGTTTAGGCTGCCCTAAGTATTGACATTTCTTGTATCAGCAGTGCAGTTTTCATAAACAGAGCTCAAAGGCAGCCTTTATCCAAAATCCACTCCACCCAAATTAGTATACAGCTATCAAGCGAGCCCCAGGTGTATCCGACCTGCGTTGGTTTGATCCTTTGATGTGGCCTTGAAATGGAGATACGGGCCTGTGATACGTATTACAGACCTCCTCTGGTATCACGAACCTCCCCATGAGGACGAGTGCTCACGCAAGTGTGCAACAGCGTCCATGCAGTTGCAGCTCCTGCTCGCTGACAAGCCGAGGGGGACGAACAATCCGAAACTCGTCCACTCCTTCAAAACAGGGTCCCGAGGAACCGGATTTTTTGAGGATTTCGGACAGTTTGAACTTTATAATTGTAATCAGGGCCACGGAAAGGCCCCAGAATGACAACAACGTTGAAGGCGAAATTTTGGGTGGACGCTGCCTTTGAGTAAGCCTGCGTGAGGTTATGCTATGGTGACCAAGAGTAGTGTGGGCTTCTACACGAAATGTTGGGCCAATGCTGCAGGGATTCATCCACGTTTTCAGGGTGTGAAAACAGGACTGACATAACTCAAAGAGAAGTCATAAAAACCCTCATTACGCTCAAAACTATGCTAACAGCAAGTGAGCGGCCGACCCTCAGCGCGCAAGCGGCGAGCAATAGTACCGTGCATGCGCGCCACCTCAGCGCGATCAGCCCATCACGACCGTACAATCGCCCATACCAACAAGTGTTTGTAAGGTCTCCGCTGGTTGCCCGCGTGGCCTAGGTCCCTGAGCAGTCCGCTAACTACTGTACTGGTGACAGGTACGTGGACGCTGCCTATCAAATCTTTTCCAGGCCAGTATAGACGAAATCTTTTAATGCGTAACGACGTCCCCGATTAGTCGGTTTTGCGAGACATTTTTGAATGCACATGCCTGGCATACGACATTGAAGTGAAGCAGGAGACGCGTATAGGTTGTCCGCGCTGCGCGCGGAGGGCAACGCTGTTGCGTCCAGTGAAGATAGTTGAGCGCAGAGAAAAACAGGCGGCGAGAGTGCGCGGGGAAAGAGGAGTGACGCGCAATACACAACTTGCGCACTCTCCGCGCCCTGCGCGGACGGCCTATATTTGTTTTTGCACGACAAGATAAAACAGTAAGGTTCAATACTGCATTTTTATATGAGATGCGCATGAGAACTTGAACACCTCAAGCATATGAAATAGCGACCGATTCGAGAAGACGTGCGCGAAGACACTCTTCTATATTCTCTAAAGTAGATATGGCGCGTCCTACTTGTGAAATGGGAGAAAACCAATTCCAAGCTCACATTTTTGAATCGCTTCCTAAAGACTCAGAAGCTTGAGTGCAAAAGAACAAGAAAAGTTTGTGTTTATAGGCATCAGCGGAGAAAGCTAAAATGTGATATTCGCAAACAGGCACAATCAGTAAGAAAGCATATGTATAAGCAAGAAGAATTAGTGTCGGATCATACAGTACAAAAGAGTTGAGATTTGAGGAATATGTTTGGAATATACATACAAATTCATTAAAAAAAGCTATCCGATTACTGATTGACAGAGAAATTCCAAGGAAATGCAAGCTACACATTCGAACGAAAGCAGCATCAACTGATGTGTACAGCGAAATACAGAAAAATGACACGTACCTCGTTACTAGCTGACAAGGTCATAAAGGCAAATGAGACGATGAAATACGATTTCAAAAGACCTCGTGACTTGGGGAGAACAAGATTTTTTTACACAATTTCAGATGTTGTAGCAGGCTTTGCGCTACAAACATGCACCTGTAACTTTTAGGAACGATCGGTTAAATGGACTGATATCAAATCACAGAGAAAGGAGGCAACACGTGAAAGCGCTCAAAGAGGAAAAGCATTGAAAATTAATGTTGTCCACTGCCACCGGGAACCTCTTCGTCCTTCCATTTATGGCGCTCGTCTTGGTATACATCAGGTCTCAATTGAGCGCGAAGACCTAGAAAGGAAATTGTTGAGAAATTGAGGTAAACAAAATGAGATGAAAGAATCGACCTCCCAGCAATTGATATCCAATTTGTGTGCTGACAACGAGTGGTCGAATGAAAGTCTTTGGTGCAATTTTAAGGACACTACGGAAGGAGGATTGTCCCGACGCTCGATCTTCTTGTGCTGCCAATTCCAAATCATCGCGAGCCTGTCGGTAGCCCTAAAAATCGAACGATATTGAAACACTGACATTAGTACGCCACCGGCTGTAGTGGTAAATTACATCTGACGCGATGTCGTATGCGAGCTGCATCCCATGACGAAGATCTGTTGGTGCAGCTGCCCTGGCAGCCAACGCTCGGCGATTACGTTCATTCAGATAAGGTGCTGTTGGCTGCACTTCTTGAAGCACTGACTCAGCGAACATCTAAGAATCCAGTGCATACACCTTTTTTCCTTGAATTCGGTAGATACTTACCTGGATTACTCCAACAACAGTTTGCGCCATACCGACAACGCCTGCTGCAGACGACAGACCAAAGGATCCAACACCTTTTTGAATCCCTTTCACTACATGACCATCCTCTTTTCGTAACTCGGCAACAGGTAGCCAAAATAAGTCCATAACTCCTTTTCCTGGAAAAAATTGTTCTATTCTCACCCTTTCACTTACAGCACAAAATCATACAGTTCTAAAAGCATCTGGAACAAGCTAGGGATAATACTATTAATGGAAGATTGATGTACCCACCAATCTGTACAAAAGGGCTTATTGGACCACAGCTGGCAAGAACATGAGGAAGATTTGCTCTGATATCGGACAACCACTCGTCCACAGCCACCTTCGAATTAGTGCTCGATATGCAACATTTTGAAAAATTTAATACTTACGTTGACACAGCGCCCTACTCCCAGAAGTCCATTTCTGTTCACAATTTCCTTCAAAACAAATTCTGTGCGATTCAACTGCCCAATTCCCGTCAAAACACCTGTTGGAAGACATTGAGAGATTGTAGGCTATGCTTGTCTCTACCAACCAAAAACTGCTCCATTTTTCTCCACGTTGATTTTGTTCTTCCCATGGTAATCAACATAGATTGAAACAGCTGGGGAGAATATGAATTCCCTAAAACAAATGGAATTAATAGAGCTTCAGCAAGGCAGAGAGTGGTAATTACAAAACAAACTTGAAGAATGTACTGCCCCGCGTTGATTCGGATGGCTCGGGCGTGCACTGATGCTCAACTGATGAGCCGGCCATTTGCGTAGAAGTTTCCTCGTCACAAATCGTAGACTTTAATGACGCACAGTAAGTAGTGAAAAGTAACGAAACAAGATAACTCTACCCTATCAGCGTCATTTGAACAATCAGCTATGTCGCTACTAGTGTCCACGAGATCTTCACTGATCGCAGCGGCATCTACATCGTGTTCTGGTACAGAGATGGCGGGATGGAAAGAGTCATGCAAAGAGGAGCTGAGCATTCTATCAACAGAAGGATCTGGATCAGAAAATCTGAAAAAGGTGAGACTTTATTCATTAAGAAATTAGTAAGAAATAGGTTATGATGAAGTAGAAATGGATAAGATGACTTAAATGCAGACCTGATTCCGCTATCGCAACTCCAGTCTCCTGCTAGGTGCAAGTCATCATCTACCGGGGGCTCATCTTCGGTGGAGATTTCGGCTCGGATGAGGTCTGGGCTACTCGACTGAAACATATAATTATAGGGAGTATAAATGGCCATCCTACTCACTTGGGGGGATAACTCCTCCACAGGCGGTATCTTCGGCGTAGCGCGCGATCTCGTTGCAAAGAGGTCTCCTAAAAAGATGGACTTATATTCCGATGAAAACTTACAAGGAGGATTTACCTATGGATACTGCTGAGGCAGTGAGAGGAGCATCGGCAAGAGGTCTTTTGACAGGTGACTCTGGTTGACTTCGATGCTCCAGGTAAGATAAATCATCTACAGAAAACAACATTTTTGTAGAACTCAAAAGGTAATAAACGCACAGATCGGTGATGGTGCAGCTTCAGGAGTTAATACATCTAGATTCACCAAAGCATCGTTATTCAAAGAAGGATATATATGACTTGATCGCATGTCAACGTCAATGTCTCTCGATGTCACGGAAGCTGGCACTTCCAAAATAGGCCTCGCAGAAATCGCATCGGACACTGCAAACTACCATTCAAGAGCATGCCTATCATTAAAGTTAAGGCGCTATTACCTTCGTTAGGCAGATGCACGCTCGTTCGAACTTCTTGGAAAAAGTCGTCCAAGAACTCCATAGTATCTTGATCAATATTGAACTTTATGGGCAACATTGAAACCTAAGTGAGTACTGAGGATAACTACAAGACAGAGCAACGCTTAGGCAGATACCCTCATTTTTCCTTCGGATTTATGGGACTCAACCATTCTCACTGCCAACATAGAAGCACAGGTCCTACGAGGCTGCTCAGCAGATGAATACTGTAATGCAAGTTGAGAGAATGAAGTTGTTTTAAAATCAGTGACGTATCGCTGCTACCTGATACATCATTTCTTTGATCTGGCTAGCTGTTAATTTGTCAAGCAAGGTTATATCATGAATTGTGAATAACTTCATGGACATGAGCGGTGCGTCCTTATTGAAAAGTTGATAGATGCAAGTAATCTGAAAAGTGTTTGGCTTCGAAACCTCACAAATTTTGACGCCTTACTCCGTCACAAGCATCATTTTCTCTCACCTTGCTCAGTTCCAAAACTACGCATACAGAGTGATCACGATATTTTCCTCCCAATGCATCTGCTGAGACCACCTGATTCTTGCCCTTACCCTCCCGATATTCACTGGTACTGTAGCTACGCTCCCTCGGTGGATCTTCGCCTGTATATTATTCTTGGTAGTCGCACCAAAACGCTAAAAAAAACTCACCTAAATCACTTCCTCCATATAGATGTAAACTAATGGATATGTCACGAATCAGATACCTATAAAAAGTATCAGCTGAAGAAAAAAACGTCATGAAATTGAATCAGCTGCTTACCTTATCGTAGGCGAAGGAAAGTCAGCTGGTAAAGCAGCCAAACCATCACCTCGCCAATCACTTGGAAAGCGGAAGTGATGAAGATCAACGCTTACACCATTGTTCCAAGGAAACTTGTTTGATTGAGAGCCGATATACTTTATGTTAGGCTCACCAGCAGAATTCTATGAAATGAAGTTAGAGAGGAAAAATGAATCATAGCAAAGCACTAACAGTAATGCCACTGCCAATCACATCCTCGTCCACCATACAAAACTCATCATCCGTAGAAAGAGAATAAGCCCGATTACGATCAGATTGTGAGACGTTTCCCAATGCATCCGTGAGCAAATCCTGAACATAAGCTACTGCGTGTTAGAAAGCGAGCCACTAACGTCAGAAAAGAATGCTTGCAAGCAAAGCTATTCACCCTTGATATAAACAAACTCACCCGTTTTGCTTGATTTGCAAAATTTGGTGAAAACTCTTCAAGAGCGTCTCTCCCACAAGAGACAGTGCCAAGACTATCAGATGTTTTCTCCTCTATGGCAGAAGCCAACATGCGCTAAAATAAGGATCTGATGCAGAAAGACTTCTAATCCAAACTACCTTCATTTTCATTTCTAGAGGTTTTGGTATATTCCTAGTAGCCTGATTCAGAGGCGCAGCGGGAGACTCATGCTAAACACCATTTACACTTGAAAAAGAAAGACTGTTATACTTCGACAACAACCTCGGAAATTATCGTGCCTTCGAAGCTATCTGTTAACTGACGCTTAGCACTCTCGCCCGCAGGAGTGGAGTAATTCTCAGCATGGGCTATCTCTGTGGCTATATTGAGCAGTGCCACCAACGAATCAGCACAAACCCACGCCTGAACAAATTAAAAAGGTTTAAACTGCCGCGATCATATGTTATCCAGTATGGCATCACTTCAATTTTGAGATACCCTTCCACTTCAAAACTCCCAAATTATTTATTGGATTGTCTCAAACTATGCAGCGGCTACACCGTTGCAATTAATCAAAATCAGTGCGCCCCCGTGCAACAGCTACAGCTTTGCAGTAGTGTAACCGCTACAACAACATCAGCTGAAACAAACCTAAGATGCGACAAATTCTGTGATGACAGATAACGAAGTGCTCAATACCACCTGCTTGGAACAAGTCACTACTGTGCACCGCCTTCAGGCTTTGTTGCTCGAAAGATGGTAACGATAGTGCTTGGAATCTCAATTATTCTCAAAATCTACACTCCGAGAGTCAATGTGACTGCGCGTTTACAGCACGGCACACCTCTCCCATGAACCCAACGCAGTTTGTGATGCGTTGAATGGTCACATGTATGACTCACAGGAATATAGAATTGGGTGAACATAACAAGTGCGCATGTAAATAATTGAACGAAATACAGACTAAAGATATATAAAGTGAAATCAGCAACATTTTGCATCAATGTAGATGACTGATAATGCAAGAAAATGATAAGGCAGAAAAGTTAGAAGTGAAGCGTCAGTATCTAACAAACCTTGATAATGTCATTTCGGCAGCGAATCTCGAGAAGAGGTGGAGCATTCCTTTTTTGTTCAACAGAAGCATTCAAACCAGATAAACACTGAAACTGGATTGTAAGTAAATGCTCGATGAATATAAACGTCATTCATAGGCCTACCTCAAGCTGAAATAATCCGACATCGATCACTTTGAAGAATTTCTTGTTTGCACGGCCAGTCGCATGAGATGGGCCATTTCTAGGTGTTCGGTGTTCTTCGAAACGAACGTTATCCTTGCACCTTTTGGCGTTGCTCATGAACACACGCGCACTTTCAAAGATGCTAGTAACCTAAAAAACAACATTCTCGCATACACAATACCACAATGATAACCCCCTGCAGTGACCTTAGCCATGTTCATATCTTGTATGATGGAACTACTTATGTCGGTCTCTCCAAGCACTAGCCTGTAATGGTTGTGGATAGATAACATAGATAGATGATTCAACGATACAGGCACTGATCACCTCAAGCGAACGTCACTATCAGGTTTTGTCCAAGCATGATCGTACGCCAAAACAACGTTGTCCAGATGTATGTGCAAATCAGTCTAGATCGATCATGATACATAGCAAAAAGATGTACAAATACAGGTACAAATAACTTACAGTAACGATAGGAAGTTCGTAACCGGGAATAGGGTAGTCCTGTAGGGTGAACAAGTCAGCCAGTTGAAGCGCCCAAGTTTCCTTCAAATTTTTGAAAGGTCTGAGCTGTATGCAGCTGTTTCGCACAGCTATCGCCAGCAGCACATCCTAAAACATTCGTCGATTGTGCCCTTTCAACAGCAACTTCCAAATAATACCTTTATATTTTGGCCAGGCCGCTCACAAAGGTAAATTGCAACACCAACAGCATCCTCGGTTCGTTGAGAACAGAATTCGTCCCCAGATGGGATTGTCTCCATTTGGGTGTCATCCCTACTCCACTTACCAAAGTCAGGGTGATTAACAATTTTCGGCATTGACGCAACATCTGTATGAAGAAGATGAAGGCTATAGCCACAACCGTATTCTACTCACTTCTGAAACCAACACCGATAGTGTGTGTGGTGAAATAGAAATAAGTGTCAGTCATCTTTCCGTGATAGCCACCCACAGCAAAAAGCTGTGCGTCCGACAACTCGGTGGAAACGTGTCCAGTGCCTCTTTCCACTTCATCCTGAATTTCTTTATAAAGATATGATCAGGCCTATTATGATAATATCTGGTTGTTTCACGAGTCCGTAACTTTTCGCATCACGTCTGGGAGTGGCGGTTGATTTGCGTCAAGATCCGTATATCATTGAAGAGAGCAGATCACGTTTTTTCGAAATAATTTATTCATATAATTCGTTGGAAAGATGTTCTACTTCGATTTATCAATTCCAAATATGGAACTCTCCAAAGGCTAGAAAGGAACGATCTCGACACCTGCTCGATTGTGTGTATAGGCTGCTGCATGACGAAGGCGCAATATCTTCGGGCGCGAACGCGGCTTTATTAGCCGCAGAGCGCATGAGGTGCGAGATCTACAACGGTAAGGATACGCGCGCGTCGCGTTCTCAACTAAGGGATTGTTCATACCGCGCACAAAGGCGGACGAAGGCGGACGAAGCCGCACAAAGGTGGACGAAGCCGCACAAAGGCGGACGAAGGCGGACGAAGCCGCGTCTTGTTTCGTCTCGTTTCTCTCGACACACGCACACACACGCCTCATCTCGTTTCTCTCGACACACACACACACACTCACACATGCCTTCGTGCGCCTTCGTCCGCCTTTGTGCGCGGTATGAACGATCTCTAATATTGCCATTGCGCCTTCGTCATGCAGCAGCCTTTATGTAAGGCTGGGTCCATACTGATCCATAAGTTCCGGAACAGTATATCCAGGCATGTGCTAAGAAACATATAACATAGAAAATAAAAGAAATCTAAGGAAGCGCTTTTTGCATGGATTCTCCCGATTATGGAAAATGGCGTTTGTAGGCCGATATAAGACAAAAAATGATTGGCTTGCTTGGGTATTAAGTCTTGTTTTCACGGTATTTAAACAAGACTTTTCGTGGGACGCGCAAGACTTCCTGCATTGGAAGTTGCTGGACAAGAAGACGGTCAACCTGACCGTACGCAACCCAAATGCATCGCCTGAACGAAGTCATACTGCAGAAAGGCCCAATTGCAGGTCCAGTAGGTTTTTCTATGCGGCCAAATATGGCTCGCACGGCAAACTTCAGTAACTGCCTTACAAGACTTGACTGGGGGGGGGGGGGTAGATTAGTATCCAATCTACTCCCTAGTCCTCGTCCCACCTATTTGTTCCGCTCTTTTGCAAACCATTTGAACTTTGCTTGTCTCGGTTCTGAAAATGATCCTAGGCGCTGACTGAACAACTTTTTAAGACCGAACCCGCTCATTTCCGGAAAAATTAAAATAAAAATTTGATGGCAAGGTCGCAGAAGGTTGTGCGCAACAGCGAAACATAAATTATTGATTAGATATTGATGGAATTTCTAAATTTATAGTTTATGAAAACCCTACGAATTTATAAAACGACCTCACAGATACATAAAAAAATTACGTGCACAGTGCAGCGGGTGGATTACTACATAAAACAAAACAAATTCTTTTTTCGTGCTTCGATTACTTAAAGGCAGCGTCCAGGCAGATCTGGACCTATGGGGCTTTTACGTGGAAAGTACTTTTGGGGCCCTAACTAAGGCACTGCCCAAGCGGCGGCTCAGGTAGTGCTCCAATGGCTGAGATATTCCCCTCGAAACTGGCCCCCGCGAACGTATTCGCATGTATTCATGGCAGTTTCGCGCCAGGATCCACGCTTTGCGCCATGAATCCATGCGAAACACGGTCGCGGGATCCAGTTTCGAGGGGAATATCTCAGCCATTACAGCACTACCTGAGCTGCCGCTTGGGCAGTGCCTTAGTTAGGGCCCCAAAAGTACTTTCCACGTAGAAGCCCCATAGGTCCAGATCTGCCTGGACGCTGCCTTTAAATAATTGAAGCTCATACTGTATCTTGTTCTAGAAAGGCGTGCGGAGACGGCGTACTCAAGTGAGAGTGCATACCTCTTTTATAGCAGTGCACATAACGACTGTTCCTTTCTTCACGTTTAACAACAGACTAAGCAAATGAGACTTGTTCTTGTCATACCCATTCGACTGTGCTGACGAACTAGGAGGTTCCTCTTCATATTCATCATCAACTGAAAACGAACTGATGCTACCATGAAAAAATAAATTCTGAAAAGCATACATCTAGTTCCTGGATCGCCATCGCATTCTTGGAACATGTCATCACTAAGAGGAGCATTTATTTTGTAGTCTTCATCACCTGGCCTCATGGTGGGTGCAGCTGGTTGCCATAAAAGAAGATCGTTTACCTAAAAAGTATACAATATAATATTGTCTCAGTGATAAAGTACTCACAAGTCGGTTGTACAACACTTCAAGGTATGAATGACTAGGTATCAAAACTCGAAGGAGAGGAATGTCAAGGGAGACGACCATGATAGACTGGAGGATGCACTTAGCTCCAAAAGCGGTCATTTCTTCTCGCGAACCAGCCAAAATCAACTAAATGCGTGTTAACATGTACCATACAATTTTATCCAAATATAAGCTTACGTCATTATCTTCGTCATGATTGTGCAGAAAAGACCGATGGGTCTGAGCGAATGGCCCTTCCCTATGAGGCAAGGACTGGATGACTGACAGAGAGAAGCTTTTGGTCATGTCATCATTGATACCAAGGCCGGAAACACAGTGAATTTTCGTACCAGAAGCTTTTAGAGCCTTGTTACGCGAATCGTACTCGAACTTCATGCTAAAACTCTTTTTGCAGTTGCTACATCCGAGGTACACATGGATATACAGCTCAAAAACTGTCGGTGTGACACATATACTTACTGTACTGGCTCATCCACTGAAGTTTGCCCTCCCCAAAGGAAGCTTCGCTCCTCTTCCGAACAAGTGAATTTTTCCGAAATCCCGCAAAAACTTCCTACAAAAGGTAAAGGTAATATATGAAGTAGCGTGTCAGCCTCACCGTAAATTTCAGTCGCAAACAGATCGAGCAAGGTGCTTTCTCCGCCGAAAGGTATTTCCACAGTCATTGAGTTCAAGTGCAAACCGATGTATTCAGGATGAACATGACGCTGACGATACGGCATTCTAGTGCCGCTAAGATTTCGCAGGTCAGCTACCGGAATCCTATGAAGCATTTTCTTCCATAAGAATATCATAAAGTGATCAAGTATTACCTCAAATCAAGTTCAAGAGATTGACATTTGATTACCACCATTAGTTTGCTTGATTGCTCTACAACGGGAAGACTGAACAAGTCTTCGCGGAGTTGAAGAGATTCCTTTCTATAAGATGGAAATAGAAAAAGCAAAGAAACTACTACCGCTAGACACGTTGTTCTGCTATCTGATACGAACCAGAACTTCACTAAAAGTGACAAACCAAAAGAAAGAGTACAACTGACCTAACAATGCTATCCAACCTCGAGCGCCTACAAGATGGTAAATCAAAGAATGGCCGCGGCTCGAACAAATCGGCTATTCGGTCCACAATGCTAAGATCTAATTCACAGCGGCACTTTCCAAGGTAGATGAAAGTTTTCGTCTGAAACTTTGTCGATGGCCCAAAACATAAGCACATTGAAAGACACGCTCACTTCATCAACGATGGTGGACCTGGTATTGAAATCGAACTTCAATTGCGGCTCTTGGTCCGGATTTTCAAACTTGGAGAAGTCAAGAAGGGGTATATGCTAAACAAGTAAATCGAAATGAAAGCAATGCAGTACCGTTGACATACGGGATTCGTTTCTGAAGCAAGATACTCGATGACATCAATATTCGGAAAAATGAGCTTCGCTTGCGTATGTTCACCAGATGCATTTTTGTCCATTTGGTAGCGAAACACCACAGATGAACCGACAATCCTGATAAGAAAGCAAATGCGAAGATTATATAAAACTTTCAAAGACAAACCTGAGGTGATCTTTAGTGTATAACCGATCCAATTCATCCAACATAGTCTTTGCGTTGTGCGGATGTTTCAAAGAAACTAACGCAGACTTGGCAAAGAATCTTAATTGAGCAGACATTCAGAAAAATAAGGAAGGCACTTCATCGATATCAGTGGCACTCACTGATTGGATTCCTCAATGATCTGATCAACTGCTTCATGATGACCATTGGTAAGAGACTTCACGTGCTCCACCGACATGATATCATAGTGTGGAATGTAGATGAGGACGATGCCAAGCTTGGCACACAGCAAGGTTGTTTCTTTTTTGGTATTGTCTGACTCTTAAATGGTAAATAGTAATTAAAGCTCTGAAATATACGCTGAAAGCGAACTGACTGATCGTCTTGTAATTTTCACGGCAGTTTTCGCTCATTTTCCGAGAAGATCTATTGTCCTCGAGGTTTATGGAGTCAAACTCCTGGAAATCTTCGCGTCTACTCCATGTTCCTGCAAGACAGGTTAGATGCAGATCAATGACACATGTACATCCATCATCGGGAACGGGTTTTGAAGAACTAAAGCCTCAAAACTAGCTCGATACCCGACTGAAAAAGCAACGAACGCACTTGGTAAGAAACTCAATTGACTACCTTGTGATCCTAAAGCAGTACTCATACGTGTCCTCTGAAAACTTTCTTCCTCAATATTCTTTGCCATTGCATCGTAATCACTTTTTTCCATTTTCTTTCCAAAGTCATTCATTCTCTCAATTTGAGGGAGAGCAATGGATGAGAAGAATCCAAAACAAAAGAGTAAGTGCACATAATCGAGGTAGTGAATGGTGAAATTAAAGGGGTCAATAACAAACCTTTTCAAGATGTCAATTTGTGAAGGCAAAATGAAACAATGCAAACCCGTAAAGAACGACTCGATTTCGACCTGCAAAAGATATCGCTTTAGACCAACTCACACACAACCGCCATCAGAAAAATATATTTGCCTCACCCTGTTATCCTTCTTGTCAGCTACTGCATCTGAGTTTCTGATCCGGAAAATCATGCGCGAGTCTCCAACAAGCTCAGCAAACTTCACAGGATTGGACATCAATCTATAGCTAGACTGGATGAAAAGATGTATCAGAGAAATCGGATGGGTAAAATTCTTACTGACTCCCTATCACTGTCTATTCTAGAAACCAAAAATTGATCACCGGTTGTCTGGTTAAGTATTTCGCTCGCATTTACTGGAAAAAAAGTCTTTGAATTGCAAAAGCAGAGAACCAAAGCTTACAGTTAGAATAACAAGACTGAAAGTTGGCAGTAGACGAAGACAGTGCAGAGGTATAAAGATCTGCCTATAAAAATCGGCTATTGAGCTAGGGTAGCGACACAAGCGAAGGACACTTACGTGTTTTTGCTTTTCACGCCTTATGTACATACTCGTAACAATCTGACTAGAATTTGGATCGGAATATTGATCTTCGATCTCAGTAAAGACATCTGTGAAGAGTTCCACTCCTGTAACTAGTACTTTATGAAAAACCTTAAGCAGCAATACCGCAAAAACCAGTTAAAATTTATAACTTTACCTGACATATCAATGAATTTATTGAGGTTAGCTATACTTCCCATCCCCTGCGGTTGGCTAGTAATTGTTTCAGCGCTTCTGCCTTCTTGCTGACAGTTTCGCATCTGCTCGTCCATAAAGCTCACCCTTAAGTTTTCATGTTTCACCACACAATGTGATGTAGCTCCTACAATATAGCACTTACTCTTTCATACGGATTTCGATCGCAGTGCATAGATCAGACATAGATTTCGGGGGATTCTCCAATCGAATAGTAGTTTCGGTCAATTCCATGCAGAACCGTGAGACGATGGCATCAATGACCTGGGTTATTTCGACATCGAAAAGCTATTCTAGACCGGCATGACATTAGTGCAACTATCAGTGAAAACGCAAGGTACGCGCATAGTCGCAAAAAGTGAACATGCCCTGAACTTAGCCGCGATAACTACAGCTCAAACATAAAACATGGACCTGCATTTGCTGAAACTTTACAGTAATAAGCCGTATGTGTACGTAAAAGAAAGCTGACAACTATAAAAACGAACAGCAAGGAAAACACACTTTTGTAAAAGCTCGGACTCCATCTTTAGCTTCAGTATCCAGTTCTTCCTCTCCCGGTTGTTTTTCGTTTTCATAGAAACTTCTGGCCAGGTCGCTAGACGAAACCAATGATTCAACCACGCTACCAATCATAGAGGAAACTGCGAAAAGATGCGATCTGGTGACAAATATATGAATAAAATGAAAGGCCTCACCCAGGTCTTTATTATCGAGTTTGATACACTCCCTTGACTGAAATGTCAATTCTAACTGGTGAACTTTCATTTTGCTTGCTTCTGAGGTTAACGAAAGCCATGGCACCTCTGAATTTGGAATGTAAAACTGGAGATGAGAAGAGTATCACCGCTGATGCTCAACAGCACAAATAGTCAACGTGAAACGCTCTGATTTTACCTATGGTTATCCCTCCGACAAATCCATCAGTAAGCCTCAAAGGTACATTCATCGACATCAGAAGTTCATTTACATACTGAAAATACCTTGAAATGATACATGACTCTTAATATTGCATATTCAAGGTATGATAATTCAATGCAGGTAGTTGAATTTTGAAAGTCACGATAAACTCACGTGAGCATTAATCTTAACTTCGTTGATGGTAAGCTTTCCTTCGTATAATTCTACTGAGAGTTGGTCCAAGGTTAAATTTTGTTCCAAGAACTGGCCAAGATATCGCTGTATTATGAAGCGGCACCATCGCGTATGTACTCCATCCGCAATATTGAAGTCGGAAAGCTTCATTTAATCTGAGGCAGATCATTTGACAGCTTCTATTACCAATATAATGAATGCTTTTCATTGAAACAATGCGAAGGAGAGACAGCGGATAGAAAAAAACATTGCTAGAGAAGACTCAGAACTTCAACCACGGAGAACAGAGTACAAAAGCAACCCAAATTCTGATATCGATATACTGCAGCCTTCAAAATATGCGGTTATACATCCTGCAAAATGCGGTCATACATCCTGCAAATCAGAAAAAGCAGTGTCATCTTTCTGCAATTATGAGTTGAATCCACATGATCGCGCTATTTAGCTGCGTAAATGAACACATGTTATATAGCAGATACGCAGGCAACAAACAGCTGATGTCTCCGAACCGCATGCAATGTGCAGTTGTGAAGACAACTCGTTTCTGACGGAAAATCTTTCTTGAAACTGCAATTGTTTGCATATTTCCGGGTCCTGTGCACCCAGACTATGTGTTGGCTCTTCTATAATTAGGTAGTCGCTGGTAGAATACATCACATGCAAAGAAGCGCAGTAAAACCTTTCGCTCACTCATTAACATTGTCTCCACTTTTATTACAATAAGTCTTTCCTCTCTTCTACTCGAAGCAACGTAAAGAGCTATGCTTTCAGATAGCTCCCATCAAAGGCACCGTCCACGCTAAATTGGGTGTTTTCAGCTTTTGGCTGCATATGATAGTAGGGCCCCCTATCAAGCCAATGCCCAATTCGAGGCGCAATATGTCGCTTCGGAAGCAAGGGTGGAGGACTACTCTGACATTCGTTTCGGATGAACGGCGCGCAAAAATAAAGATTCCTACGACCCGCGCCTGTCGAGCGTATGAGCGGCGCGACATAGTCGGATGTGAGTACGAGCGGCGCGCAATTCGGCGTGTATCAGTACGAGCGGCGCGCAATTGACAAGCAGGACCGGCCGCGTGTCTTCAAACGTACAAGCGGCGTACCATAACATCTAGGTTTTAGAATCAGCGGCGTTCCACAGCGTCACCTTATACGAGCGGCGCACAATTCGGCATGCACGAGTACGAGCGGCGCGCAGTTGACAAGCAGTACTGGCCGCGTGCGTTCAAACGTACGAGCCGCGTACCACTAATTTAAGCTTCTGCAGCTTTTCAGGCAGGTCCACGTGTTCACGGCTACCATAGTCAAAGAAAGACGTTTGAGTTTGTGTGCGATCATTTTTTATGCATTCGGTTATAATTTTCACATTTTTAAGTTCACAAGAACTATAGCGTAATTTTCACACGTTATAAGCGTAAAGGGTACTTGCATAAGGTACGACGCAGTGGTTAAGCTGCCCTCAGTGCTGATTGACTTGAATGTGTTTACAATACATGCACAAGGACATAGTCGAAAGGTGGTCTTCCAGACAATCTTCGATAGCACCCCTGTGTTGCTCAATTTTGTAGCCGGACGTGATGAAACTGCCATATCGGTGGCGTTAACACAAAATTGTCATATTATTAGCGATTCAAGCAGAGATTACCGTACCAGCGGCGCCGATGTGACAGCGTACCAGCGGTGCGAAATTCGCGTATCACCCGAGCGCATTTAGCGGGCGAACGGCCATTGAGGAGTCCGCTCGTACGCAAAATTTGCGCGGCTCGTACGGAACGAATGTCAGAGTATATGTCGCCGAATTTGGAAGAGTCCCGCGCGGATTCCCTGCAGGAACGCTTGTCCGCGCATGTACAAGGGTACGTATTTGTCGCAAATGACCCCGGGGACCGCCCTTTTTCGGCGACATATAGTCCTCTACCTGGAAGCAAGAAAATCGCTCCGGAATAGCGAAGATGTACGAGGACCCCCATCCATGCCCGCCCATTTGTGCGTGCCCATCCAATCACCGTTCCGGAAAGCCAGCCTGTGCGTTTTCTGGAACGGGGATTGTCGGGATTTTCGCGAATTCACGACTTCATATTCGAAAATCAGGGACACGAGAATGCCCTGAAACGACATAAACCTGGAAGTCGAGAATCTGGGTGGACGGTGCCTTTAACACATTCACGATAAGGCCGATTTTTCGATGACTGTCATTTCGGACCGGAGCATATTTCGCTATAATGAGTTTGCGTAATATTTTCTGGTCACTGGTGGGTCCTGTGGCCTTGATTGTTAATCTTTTGAAAACTTTTCCAAGTGGTGCACATGGATGTTTACTGGACTTGCCCAAAAAGTTTCATCGTAAACTAGCAAAATTTCAAAAAGCATACATCCACCGGTGGGTCGTATTATTGTCGCGAATGTGTTAAGCGTTTTTTTTCTTGAAGATCACTTAGGCTTGATACATACCTGGCGTCGGGTATCTAGCGGTGGCAGCAACGCATTCAATACCTATCGATTGCAGCGAAGTGACGCTGCTGCCTCACGCTGCAGCAGCTAACGCAAAAGGTCATGCCCATACTTAGCGACTCATTTTTGAGCAGCGCCCATCAGCGCTGCACTAGCTTTTGCAGCTGAGTTACGCTCACTTTTTCTGAGCGTATCTCTCAGCTGCTTTGAGCTGCATACAGCTGCTTTTGTTTGAATCTACCTAGTTTTACTGGTTTTCAAGCTGCAATTAGCGCTTTGGAAGCAAAGCCCGTCTTTTTTGCATAAGCAAGTCATGAATGCAACCTGAGACCATCAAATTAGGACTTTAGAGGCGGATATGGGAAATTACAGAGACATAGTCCATGAAGTTGCCACGAAAGCGCGGCTTCGGAGGCCACGGCAGGGCACGGTTAGGGGTGTCAAAATCTAATGCATGTTTTGCTGAGATTTAGCGGGGAACACGCGAGAGTGCCATCTAATATATAAAGAATCGTTAACTCAAATCAAAAATCTGCAAATAGCGGGAAACGCGGTGCGGTCAAGCGTGCGGATGCAATCTAGCACCTTTGATTACTGGTTCACTAGTGCTGATCACGAATTACACTTGTTTCGCACGATAAGGTCTTTTGTAGGATTATGGTAAGAATTATCGGCTCCACGACTTGTGTGGAGGCGAAGTCGAGGCAACTCAAAGCGTGGTGGTTTTTGATATCAACAGAGTACGAAAACAGTGTTATTTATAACGTGGAGATTTAACAAGTTTATCCTTATAATAGGGAAAGTCCGCAACCTGTCTCTACACGAATCTTCTTGAAGAGATCATGTTTATGAAGCAATTTGAATAAATATTTGAATCTCCAGAAGAGCATTCGAATACGATCTAGAATTTGATAGTCGATGAGATCAAAATGTCGGAGTATATCCAAGATCCAATTATCTCCGATCATTAACTTATTCGCAAATCTATATTTCCTATCATAATCGATTAGCTGGCTTACCCGGCTCCGCCGTATGTTCCGAATAGAAAATTCTATTTCTTAACCGATCCGGACCAAACTTGGCACACATGCACTTCGAGCCCCGGCGGGTGTCACAGTCCACTTTTCGTTATCGATCGATGTCAATTTTATCGATTTTTTGCAAAATTTGAGCTACGGGGCTGGGAGTTGGCACAGGGGGGTAATCGAGCATGCTGATCACCCCCGTGGGGGTGATCAGCATGCTCGATCACACCCCCCTGCCAAAGTCCAGCCCCCTAGCTCAAATTTTGCAAAAAATCGATAAAATCGATATCGATCGATGACGAAAAGTAGCCTATGACACCCGCCGGGGCCCGATGTGTATGTGTGCCAAGTTTGGTCCCGATCGGTTCAGAAATGGAATTTTCTATTCGGAACATACGTACAGACAGACATAGATACAGACAGACATACAGACAAACGGGAGGCGGTCGAATGGCGCGTATTGATCGATTGTCATTAAATGGGAGAAGCAAGAAATAAGTTTAAATTTATTTTAATACTTCCCGATTTCAACTGGTTATCCTCCATTACGCTTTCTGATGTACTACCAAAAGTCTTGGAATCTGGAAACCACGCTGTTGTAGAGAACTGAACTAGTCTGAAAATGAAGGCTTAGGGAACGCGCGCCTTTCGACATACACCCCAGACAAACAGACATTCAGCTTTATATTAGGTCGTTCCGAAAGTAATGTCGCTTTTTTCAAACGAATGCCACATCTCGTGGAACAAAGATGGTAGGAGATTCTGGTAGCATTTGATGCAGCATTTCATTCTCTTTCTAATGGTTATATAACCACTGCACAGAATTCAATAACCTTTCGAAGAATTCTTGAAATCTGCGACCCATGCTTTTTGAGAAGGCCAAATATCACAATTTTTCTAAATCTTTATAACAACCTTTGGAAGGAGTCCAAGTAATGGATAGATAGAGCAAACCCTACAGGAAACAGCACAACTTTTTTCTACTTTCCAGAGCTCGTCATAATTTTTGTACAGATTTTTTGATGGAACCACCGAATTTTAGCAGGCTCGTCTCAGACAAAAGTGCATCAAACGCCAGCAAATCTCCGGATTTTCAAAGTTACAAAGATGGATTATGGTTTGGCAACAATTTTACAAACCAAACGAGCATTCACCGCTCCGGTTTAGCAACTTTCGAAAATCTCGGGTACAACTTGGGGTGCCTTGGAAAAGTTGAATTAAGATGATTTTATCCCGGAAAACTTGATAAATCGGGAAAAAAACAACTAATAGAAAGAGGAGAAAAAGCTGCGTCGAATGACACCCGAGTTGCTTGCCGGTTGTTGTGCTGTGTGGTTTGAGTTGACCAAATATACAATTTAATAGCATTGAAAAATTGATTCCAGAAACTCTGAGAAGCAGGCTAAGGAGAAGAAAAAATTATCCTGTGTCCTATAGGGTTTGCTTTATCTAACTGTCACTTGCATAAATTCGGAGAATAGGTACAAAAATTTAGAAAAATAGCCGAACTTGACAATGGCAAAAAGCATGAGTCGCAGATTTTGGTATTTTTTCGAGAGCTCATTAGAAGTATGCAAAGTAATTAGAACCATCAGAAAGAGGATGAAGTGCTGCATCGAATGCTTCTAAGATCTCTTGAAAATGTTGATTGCACGAATAGTGGCGTTCATTCGAAAAAAGC